CACATGCTTTGTCTCTGTTCAGTTAGCTTTACAACACCAATGCAACTGGCCCCGTCGCTTCCTCCTATGATCTCTTACTATGTCATGAATAAAGCCTCATTGCATTTGCAGTGTAATTGTACTTTATTTGTCACTTTTATGAACATATCTCTCCTCCTCCAGTGATCTCGGTGTCCTCTGTCCTTTCCAGACAACCTGATTCCATGGCTGACGGGATGGGAGCTGGAGGGCGAGGCCAAGTGGCGGGACATGCGAGCAGGAGAGGAGACGGCGGGGAGTATGGAGGACCTGCTGCAGTTCATGGGCGTCCCGCTGAGCCTGCTGGAGCACTCTTCGATCTGCCAGTCCCTCGGCGGCACCCTGGGCGTCCCGTCCTCGAACTGCGAGACAAGGCGGCTGATGACCGCAGCGTCGCCCTGGATCTCGAGGTGCGTCGGGGGGGCCTTCGTCATCTTCATGTGGCTCAACGCCGTCGACAGAGGCCACGAGGGCACCTGGACCACCCTGGAGGGCCACGTCCTCAACTACACTCACTGGTACGGCGTGGAGCCCAACGGGGGCGTCACGGAGAACTGCGTGGGGGTGAAGGGCCAGGGCGTGGCGGCCGGGAAGTGGTACGACATCATGTGCGACGGGGCCCCGCTGTGCGCATCCTGTCGCTTCGCCTCCCGGCCGTACCTCCACCTGCGAGGCCCCTGCGTGGAGCAGGCGGGGGTCGACGCGGACTACGTCCTGCATCCGGACTCGCACGACGGCCTGCACTTCATCGGCTTCACGTCCTCCAACATCGCGGTGCTGGAAGGGAATCGGTATGGGCTGGTGGTGGACGGGGCGAAGCCGATCGCCTTCCTGGAGGACGCCAAGCAGTCCATCTGTCCCGTGGGACGCTACAAGTGGAAGTTCCCCGAAGGAGACGGCTGCCCGGGAGTCAGTAACGGCTCTGCCATCATGATGTTGTCCGTGTGCGCCCCGGAGCAGTTCACGTGCAATTCGGGCCACTGCATCCCCCTGGCGCAGCGCTGCAACCGCGTCGACAACTGCGACGATGCCTCCGATGAGGTCAACTGCACCATCATGGTCGTCCCTCCGTCCTACCGGTTCACTCTTCCGCCGCCGTCGGTTCCCCTCACGGAGGACGAGGCGCTGTACCTCGGAGAAGTGGCAGCGCCCTTGGGAGGCGCGTCCGCCAACAGCACCGTGCCTCTCTTCGTGTACCTCTTCATGGACATCGCAGCCGTCACCAGCCTTAGCGCCAAGGACATGGAGTTCACCATCGAGTTCACTCTGCGAATGTCCTGGCGAGACTCCAGGCTCGTCTTCCACAACCTCGCCGGGGACGAGAACCTGAACCTGGTGCGGCAGGAAGGGGCCAGCAGGCACTGGACGCCCGAGGTGGACATCCTTCTTTTCAAATAGTCACACGATCTCACTTCTTGCTCGTAGTTTTGAATGACACTAGACTATCTGTTGGCCAAAATGAATAACTATTTTGCCTGCTTTTATTTAATTTCTTTCTACTTTCTGTTTCTGTCTTGTGAGCAGGTTACTTTCGAGAACGGCCAAGGCAACAGTCACACAGTCGTGGACGAGGAGGCAAGAGTGACTGTGAGGAGAGAGAGCAAAGGGGTCCTCTCGCGCTCTTCCCACGCCTACGAAGGTGACTCACACACACACACACACACACACACACACACACACACACACACACACACACACACACACACACACACACACACACACACACACACAAATACACATACACGAAATTAAAAGGTGCTGTTCATAGAATATTCTTTTCGTATTACTGTTCTCATCCCCATAATTGTTATCATCACAAGCATTATCATTACTGTAATTATCATTATCATTTCTATGAATACTATTATCGTCATTATTATTATCATTAACCATATTGATGGTGTAATTATCATTACCACCATTATTATTGTTATAATTATCATCATTTTCACTATCATTATCGTTTCATCAATATCTACATTGCCATTATCATTAGTTTTTTTATTATTATCATCATTACCATTATCATTACTGTTAGCATCACTATCGTTATTACCCTAATTGTTATTCTCATCATCATTATGACTATCATCGCCATTATCATTATTGCTATAATTTTCATCTTTACCATCATCATTAGTGTTATTACAATTCTCATCATTACCAGTATTGTTATTGTTATCATCATATAATTCTCATTCTCATCATTACCATTACCATCATTGTTATCATCACCATCTTTATTATCATTCTCAGCTTTATCATTATCATTATCATTATTATTACCATTATCATTATCATTATTATTATCATTATCATTATTATCATACCCATTATCATTATTATTATCATTACTATTATCATTATCATCATCCTCACCATCATCATTATCTTTATCATCATTTTATTTCCTATTCATTTCGATTCTTTCCACCAGATCTTGAGTACAGCGGCCTGAAAAATTCTTTCCGGATGACAAGAA